AAAAGAGTCGAGAGCGTCATTAGTCGCAAACATGAAAGAGATTTAATTTATCCCATCCTTAGCTCCATTTCAAAAGCTACAGCTGCATCCCTCTTTCAGCAAGACAGTGTGGACAAATCTGTCTTATCTAAAACCCAGAAATAGACATGTTCACGTCAGAATGAGAGCCCAAAACAGCTGATAAAAACATTACAATATTCTACAAGTAATCGGCAAGGCTCCAGTCCATCAATTAACTAAAACGTCTTCTAAAACAAAAAACTGCATGTTTGTAAAAAAAAAAAGAATCTATCATTAAAGGGGTCATATGATGCTTTTTTAAAAGATCATTATTTTGTGTATTTGGTGTATCAGAATATGTTGACATGCTTTAATGTTCAAAAAACACATTTTTCAAATACTGTACATTATTGTAGGTCCTCTATGCCCCGCCTCTCTCAAACGCTTCGTTTTCTACATAGTCCCTCCTTCCGACAAGCGCAGTCTGCTCTGATTGGCCAGTTGACCCAGTGCATTATGATTGGCCGAACACCGGAAGCACTCGTCGGAAATGTAACGTCCCTTACCATAATCGCGATGGCAGAGTCTTAACTTTGATAAAGAATATCTCTTTGGTTTTGAGACTTTAGTCTCTAAAAATCAGCTTCCTTTAAAAACAGTGTTAGAGCTCAAACATTAAAGTTCTAATCATTTTAATTTGACTTAATTTAAGTTTTAACAGAATAATTAATACAATTACTTTTATAAAATTATAAGCTTCACTTTTCTGTTTTAAATTCCATTGTAAGCTCCTTACTGTAACCATTGTTGCATTTAAAAAAAAAAGAAGGGTGGGAAAAGTAAAGATTTTTCATGGTAATCAACATTATGTCAGTGTATTAAGGCAAAAAGTTTGCTTTAATACACTGCGCTGCAGCAAAAAATAAAAATTAACAGTTGAAAATGACCAGAAATGTTCAGGTGACGCTCTTTACAGAAGCCAAATTATTTTACTTTCACAAAGACACTTCATGATTGCAGTTTGCAGGTAGTTCTATTTTGAAGAACATCCCCAAGTCTAGACACATTAGGGGTTGGATGCCCTAAGCATACTCTCACTGTGACTTCTGCCAACTGTTTGCAGATGGCAGATGCGGTCATGGAGTTCTTGTTAACAAGTTCTTGTTGATAGCCTATATACCTGCTGGGACACGCAGCTACGTCAGAGTTTCCGGCCTTGAATGAAGAGAGAAATGTTTAATTCAAAAACACAAAAAGAGTCAAAAAGGACTTGGCTTGGTTAAACAGAAGGATTTGTTAAATAGTTTTCACTACGAAACTGAAATTAAAACTGGTTATGAAGTCAGGAATTTCTCAAGATGTTTCAGGCCAGGTTTGAGGTCAGTGACAGCCAACTGGTCAATTGGTTCTTATATTTGTGACCCTGTACCACAAAACCAGTCATAAGGGTTAATTTTTCAAAATTGAGATTTATACATCATCTGAATAAATAAGCTTTCCATTGATGTATGGTTTGTTAGGATAGGACAATATTTGGCCGAGATACAACTATTTGAAAATCTGGAATCTGGGGGTGAAAAAAAATCTAAATATTGAGCAAATCGCCTTTAAAGTTGTCCAAATGAAGTTCTTAGCAATGCATATTACTAATCAAAAATTAAGTTTTGATATATTTACGGATGGAAATTTACAAAATGTCTTCATGGAACATGATCTTATCTTAATATCCTAATGATTTTTGGCATAAAAGAAAAATCGATAATTTTGACCCATTCAATGTTTTTTTGGCTATTGCTAGAAATATACCCAAGCGACTTAAGACTGGTTTTGTGGTCCAGGGTCACATTTGAACATACATGAACACAAATGAGATTTGAACTATGGAAAATAATTTATTTTCAGTTTTAAGAGAATCATTCTGTTTTAAACTTTCACTTCCATTGTAAGTCATTGTAAGCTTTTTGTGGTTGACGTCCCCAAAATAGCTTTGCATATTCAAACTTCCATTTGAAGCTAAACATACCAGGTTCTGTCCCTAGAAGGTTCTCAGGTGACCTGCTCTAAACTCATCCTGAATACTTAGGAACAGTAATGAGGTATCATATTGGGTGAATACTCCTCCAAAATAAAGTGTGCTTCATTAATATATGACGTTTGAGGTCTACGGTTCCCATTATTAAAGGGACAAACTTAATGTTTGTGTTCAATAGTGTGTCAAATATTTAGACACAAACAAGGGCGTAGGTACTGTACTGCCTGTAAATGTGCTGAATGCCCTGTTGTAATGAGGGACAGAGCCAGTGTGGGACAGAATGGCATCATGTTGATATCAGTGGTGTTGTCTTACAGGCCAGTCAGTTCACTGCTAATGAATAGACAGGCTTGTCTATGTGAGTGTCTCTTGAGATACAGAGAGACAAAAGCGCTAAAGCATTACAAACAAGCTTATCACAATCATTAGTATGCATTTGATACCAGGTTGGATGTAAAGCGAACATGCTTTCGATCATGATCTGTTGACATATGGATGTAGGGCTGCATGATTATCAAAATAAAACCCAAATCTCATTATCCAATCGCAAAGGCTTCAATTTAATGAAATAAATATATGCATTGCATGTTTTAGAGTGCAGCGCGGCACTGTGTTCATTCACACATGCATTAACAGAGTCTCAAAGCAGGTTAGTTCAAAGTAAATGCTGCACACAAAATTATTATTATTATTATTATATAGTCAATATTGATATCATCACAACATTTTTGGCCAAGCTGTTCAGAACACCAAACCTACAGCTTAAAAAAATATTTATTTTCATCTGAAAAATAGCAAATAGATTTTTCTAAATTGTGCAGCCCTAGTTGGACAGCCTATTTAGAAGGTCTTGTCTTTTTTAGCTTTTGTCACATCCTGGCACAAACTTTTTCTGTTTATCTACTGCTGTCATTTTAGAGAATTTTGCAGAAATTTGCATATGCCCCTGCAAACAAAATAAGTCAAAATTTTTCTGGAAGAAAAAAAGTTTCAAATGGGCCGGTGTCAGCTAAAAGTATTTTTTGTTCATTTGTAAGCAACTTGTAAACATGGATCTCTTCCTGGGGCTTTTTGAGTATTTACAATATTTCACCCTTTGCATATAAACCAATTTTCTATGGGACAAAACTCAATATTTATATCCTAAACAAAACACTATTTTTCTCCACAAATCACACAGATCTCAAAGGGTCAAAAGAAAAATTTCATAATTCATCAAAAAATGAAAAATTTACTCACCCTCAAGTTCTTCAAAACCTGTATGAACTGCTTTCTTCTGCTGAATACACAAGAAGATAGCCTATTTTAAAGAATTCAGGTAATCAAACAGGTACCCATTGACTTTCATAGTAGGGGGAAAATGGAAGTCAGTGTCTACCAGCAACTGTTTGGTTGCTCAAACAGGTTTGGTACGACATGAGGGTGAGTAAATGATGGCAGAATTTTCATTTTTGGGTGAACTATCCCTTTAATGTACTTCTAGACTCTACAGAGTGTGTCTATTTTAGATTCAAGCAAATATGTCTTCTTTAGAGTTTCTGTAACTGACTGATTAAGGCTAAAGCCCTTCTTTCATAGTTTCAAGGGATTATACATGACTTCTGCCAAAGCTGAGCGGTCTTACCTGTTCAGTCTGTTAACCAGTAACCCTATACACTGAGTGATGTAAATAAGAAAACGTCTTTCAACAAAAGGATGTCTCAGCACTGAAAGAGTCTCACTTTAATATTCAAAACATGCTTTTCATTTTCATCCAATAAGTTATGCAGAAGCTGAAAAAATGCAATAGTCTCTCATGCTCATCAGGTCCATGACAGGACTGTTTATCAAAGGGGCCAGACTAAAAAAAAGACACAAGAAAGCCAAAGCATGAGTCAGTTGCTTTTTAATAAAACATACTGAGCAATGTGGATTGAAAAGCACAGCTGTTCTCGGAGTAACAACATCACATCCTCCACTTTGCAGCAAGACTCTTCAGGTCCATTCTGGACAGTATAATATGACGTTGATGATACAGATAAAGAAAAAGATGGGTACACTCTAAAAAATGCTGGGTTAAATACAACCCAGTGCTGGGTAAAATAGGGACAAACCCAGCAATTGGGCTGTTTTGACCCAGTGGTTGGGTTAAACGTTTAACCCAAACTTCTGTCTTATTGTTAAATGCCCTGCCTCCATTACATATCTCTGTCACGTCATTATAAGTGTTTGATCACCACATTTGACGACTTTAAATCACATTATGACAATATATCTTCTTATATGCGTGATGTTCATTATGACCAAACCACTGACATAATTCAGTTAACTTCTTGAAAAAACATGTTCGCGTAATTAGCGGTCGTTCAAGCGTTCTTTCGTTTTTGGTTAGAGTGCATTTACATTTAGTCGCCTTTAGCTGCGCGTTGCGTTTTAATACGCGTTCCGCTTAGCAGTTTTTGAACGCAAGAACGCGTCCTGCATGAACGCTATAGGATCTTTTCGCCTGTCAGTTCTGAAGGTACGCTCATTTGTGGACGTTTAAAGATGAAAATGAAGTGATGACAAACATCAAAACCCACTTGTTGAAACGCACACGATATGCAACGTGCTTCAACGACCCAGAAGCGGCTCGACTGTGCAATCGAACCGAAACCAGTAGCGCAGGAGAAACGGTGTACATTGACGTTCATTAAAACAAGAACCTGGACGTTGATGCCTTCCGATCAGAGATCCTATTTCCCATAAATATACATAATATGAATTATGAACCAGTACTGCACTGTATATGAAACGGAGCTGCATAGGATGCTGAATGGCACCATGCAAACATGCAACACGTTCATACAGCGACACGTCCATGTTGACATGCGTGCATTAACACCCTAATTTTATTTGAACGGGGAAACCCCGAAGCTTACCAGCGGTGTTGTCCATGCAAATCATTTTTCCTATTGTAAGCATATGTAAGATACACGGCGTCGCTTACCTTTAAACTGTAATGACTGGCTTGTTTTAATTCTCACAGTTCCTGATATGGATTCCCCGGGGTTGTAGACCACCTTGTTATTAGTGAAAGTAATCTCGAATTCCTGAAGCTTCCCCATGTCGTTCAGAAGCACCACTCAAGCACTCACGGAAAATGAGATCGTCGGGTAAAACTAAACGGGGCCACTTTCACGTCCCACCTGCGGCTCTCATCTCTCCGCCCATCCAAGAGCGCTGACGTCATCGGGACAGTCAGACTCCCCTGCTCTTTATGATCCCAAGGTTGTTGCAAATAATCGTGTGACGACATAATGCATTTCATATTTCCTTTGAATGCTAAACTTACAAGAATGCAAGGACATTCCAATATTCTTACAACTGCATTAATTCTTGAAAGATTTTCATGCACATCCAAAGCATTCATTACTGTGATTTTCATTTTATGCATTAAAAAAAAAGTTTTATATCATTTTAATTTGCTAGTGTTGATATCTATCTATCTATCTATCTATCTATCTATCTATCTATCTATCTATCTATCTATCTATCTATCTATCTATCTATCTATCTATCTATCTATCTATCTATATCTCTATCTCTCTCTATCTATCTATCTATCTATCTATCTATCTATCTATCTATCTATCTATCTATCTATCTCTCTCTCTCTATCTATCTATCTATCTATCTATCTATCTATCTATCTATCTATCTATCTATCTATCTATCTATCTATCTTAATGTAGGCTATGTATGTACAAAACTGCTTCAAAAATAAGCCATCATTTATAATATTATAAATAATAATAATTAAACTTAAGATTATGCCATATTTTTCAAAAAAATGTCTTTCTTGCTTGCACCACATGCATATTTTTTACTTTTGAGACACCTCAAAAATATCCAAATTTATACAGAATATTAAAACATGTTCCTTACACTCTCAGAAAAAAAGGTACAAAAGCTGTCACTGGGGCGGTACCTTTTCAAAAGGTACACTTTTGTATCTTTTAGGTACTAATATGTACACTTTAGGTACTTATCTGTATGAATTGCATTGAGTTTGTGTATTTTTGAATTACTAAAAGCAAAAAATGAGTGTCACGTCATTGACAACAGCACCACACACGGGCTTTCTCCATAACCAACCAGGAAAATTAGCAAAAATCCATAACTCCATCTGTCTGGCGACAAGCACTGATAAAACTGAACAGACATCCCTTCTGCCGTTGTTCTGGGAATAATAAATTCACCTCATGATGGGGACTGAACACTCCTGCGTTCCGCACATCACTCATCTGCTGAAAATAGAAGCCACTTTAAACCCATCTCCTGTGCCTGCTGACAACAGCTATTTTTTCCTCTTCTGAGAGGTCTGCTTTGTGGACATAACAGAAAAAACAACAACTTTATTAACGTCTCTCAACAGATTTAAAGAATTATGTCAAATTGGTATTGGTATTTGTCACTTGTGTGAAAAGAGGTAGAAAATTAGTGCTAGTAACCAACATCAGCATCTAATAAGATTGATTGCTTCGAGCATCAGGCTTTATAAACATCTTCTGTCAGATCCTTAAGTTTCACTGCATGCTGTGATATAATAACAGATCATTAATTTAATTATAATACATTGTATAATATATAATACAATGGATAGTATATAATAATACATTTAATTAACAATGCATTTTATGAGATTTAAACAAGCAAATCTTCCAATGGAATAAGGCAACATACATTATATTAAAGATGGCCTATTCTTGAGGGGGGAAATAGCATATGCCAATTTTATTCTGTACTAAACATCTTGTTTTATGGATGTTTAGATATTTTACTGGGAAACAAGACTGAGATAATGATTAATAAATTAAGTTATTAATACATTTCGGTAAACCTTTTAACAAATACGTTCTTTTCAAACAAAATTGAGACATTGAACCATTTCTAGGCGTATTCAAAGTGTTACCCGAGTTCTAAACACTTGCCTGTTACGCCCCCTAATGGACCCTCAAAAGAACAGCAATCCTAACAATTGACACGTGCATATCACACAGATTCCAGATATTGTTCTATGCTCCACCTATTATTATCGAATATTGTTTATTATCCTGACTTACAAGAGCAGGCGCAGTTTGTAACTTGTAACTTGAATGTGCCAGACTTCCGGTGTCATCCGCGTCCAGTTATTTTACATTTACAAAAACTGTCATGCTGCTTGATGTTGCAAGTAATTTGTTATCATATTATTTGAGTGTCGCGTAAATGGTTTTAGCGTTTACTGCACTTCGTTATTCTTCTAATGAATCGGTTGTTTTGCACATTAATTCCGCGTTGCGGATAGTCAGCAGTGATAGAATTCAATTCACATTTTAGTGTATATTGTTTTTTATTGGTGGTTGTTTGATTGATTTTTATTTTAATTCTTACATTTAAAGAAATATGATAAGTATGCAATATTAAATTGGCATTCATTTCTTCTAAACAACCATTATTTGTTTCCAGAATTATTATCCATTATTTCAATTCTTCCTCCCCTTCCAGCATGCAGGTGCGGGCCATTGCGCAGGTCACAGCATATGGGTCACAGTTGGCAGCAGGACGGCGGTCCTCAAAGTAGCCACATTTGTTCTGAGCCACCCGATAGGGGATACGAATGCTGGCCCCGCGGTTAGCAACACCTGCTGAGAAATCATTTATGCTGGAGAACACCTGACAACCTATGAGTCGCCGCTTGTTGTCCTCGCCACCGTTTGGGTCATAGACACGAATATGCTCTGCGTGGCGCTTTCTCAGTTTCTCGATGGCTCTATCAATGTGCCTGATGCAGAGAGGAGGAGGATGCAGGTCAGATGACATGGCAAAACACAGCAACATAACTTTCTCTCTCTGACTAGCATGTGTATGCAATTCAGTACATACTCAATTCCTCCTTGTTCTCTCATTTGCACTGTGCTCACATTGATGTGGCAACCGGCTCCATTCCAGTCTCCTGTCATGGGTTTTGGATCCAGAGTGGCCACCACTCCAAAATCTTCACACACCCTGTGTAGCAGGAAACGTGCCATCCATAGATGATCTCCCATCTCAATTCCTTCACATGGACCCACCTGGAACTCCCACTGCAGAGAGAACAGACTATCCAGACTGGGGTTTTTTAACCAATGGTACAATAATGTACCATTTTTATGGGCATGTAACTAATATGCAGAACCAATTAAGTAGAAAAGTGAATATTGGTTCACATAATTACCTAATGATATCATATTTACCTGAGAGGGCATGACCTCTGGGTTAGTGCCACTGATTTTGATGCCAGCATACAGACAGGCTTTATAATGACACTCCACAATGTCTCTGCCAAAGGCTCTGTCAGCACCAACACAACGGTAATATGTGCCTGAAAGAAGAAAGACACAAAATTCAATTTGTGGTTAAAAAATGACAGACACATTATTTAAGCTGTACGGTTGGACATAAGCCATAAAAGACCTAAGTACAATAACAGCATTATTTACACAGAGTGTATTTGTCTATTGTGTATTATTTGAAGTTCAGATGACATTTTATGACTACTTTATGAAGAAATCTATTGTAAATCAAAACCAATTTTTTTCCCCTACAACTAAAGTCAAGACATTTTGGACAATGGCAATGCTATGCTTCCAACTTTGTGGGAACAGTTTGGGGACCAACTCCATATTAATGTCTATGCTTTTAGAATGTAATATCATTGTCCATATATGTAGGAAATTGTGTATTACTGTTTACTCTTTATACTTAATGTTGCATTCTCACCCTAGACTGTGGATGTAACAACTCATGGTAACATTTAGATAACCTTGTGGTTTGGGAAAGCCAAGTCTGGGCCAGCCAAAAGGGTGTCCATCCACTCCTAGGAGAGTATATTCTTGCTCCATTCCAAACCAAGGGTGAAGCTCTTTGACCTTCTCCATAATCTTGTTACAGCTGTTACGTTGGTTCGATTCTAAGATAAAAATTTGGATAAGGATTTGGGTAAGTATGAGCAGTTTTACAATGTTTACATAGGTACCTTTGTACCTACATTTATGCATATATACATCATGCTCTACCAGCTGAGCAACATTAACAATGGTGCAGAACATAAAGAACCCAACGTGAGTTTTATACAATTTACCATCATTTCAGCCTATCATACCTGCAGGCTCCCGGGTGTTCTTGAGCACCTCACAAAGGACCAGTTTGTTAGAGTCCAAAATAAAGGGGTCCCTGAACATGCAGACAGGAGCCAGTAGCATCTCAGTGCTGAATCCTTCAGTTTGCCCAATGATATCCCATTCTGGTATATCTACCAAACATAAAAAAGTAAGTATAAAGCATGATAAACACAAGAAAACTCAAAACATATATTATGAAGAAATTTCTGTAGTACCAGCTATGGTTTTTGGTGTAAAGTCCATGGTTCGGGTCTTGTAGCACAAGTCCATTCCACAATAAGCGATCCAGACGTAAGTGACTTGACAGAACTCTCCCTGGGGAAGATTGAGGTATCTCTCCCGCAAGAACTTGTTAAGACGTGAGCTGTCAGATACGCAAGACATCCTGGAGCAGATATAATGCAACAAAACCAAACACAAATATCAATGGTATTACGTCTGTGGATGCTTTTATCCCTCTCTTGATTTTCCCAGGCTACACTGAAACTGGAGTAACAGCTGAACAGATCCACATAAATCTACTGTCACCTGAAGGATGTCCTCTGGGTTGCAACTGCCAATAAAACTCTTTCAAATGTTCAAACTACATTTGAAATTACATTGTTCCAAAGAAGAAAGAGTGAATGACCTGTTTTGGTGTGAATCATCTCTGCAAAGCTGATCTTAGGACAATGCTTATTTTTTTATTTTTTTTTTTTACAAATGTGAGGTTGGTGCATGTTTTTATTTATGCATTTCTGTTAAACAGAAATTGATCAATGTGTCCCTGAATGAAGGAGAGGGGGTCAGTATCAAATGTGGCAGACCGTGAGTATCTTATGTGGCCACCAGCTGCTTTAAGTATTACAGTGCTTCTCATTCTCATGGACTACACCAGATTTGCCAGTTGCTGTGAGATGTTTTGCCACTCTTTCACTGAGACGATGACCTGTTTTGGTGTGAATCATCTCTGCAAAGCTGATTTTAGGACAATGCTTATTTTTTTTTTTTTTTTTTTACAAATGTGAGGTTGGTGCATGTTTTTATTTATGCATTTCTGTTAAACAGAAATTGATCAATGTGTCCCTGAATGAAGGAGAGGGGGTCAGTATCAAATGTGGCAGACCGTGAGTATCTTATGTGGCCACCAGCTGCTTTAAGTATTACAGTGCTTCTCATTCTCATGGACCACACCAGATTTGCCAGTTGCTGTGAGATGTTTTGCCACTCTTTCACTGAGACATTTGCAAGTTCTCAAACATGTCTGGGGGGACACAGTGCATCCTGGTGCCATAATTTCCCCTGGTTACATCCACGTGATGTACAAACCCAATTCCAAAAAAGTTGGGACACTGTACAAATTGTGAGTAAAAAAGGAATGGAATTATTTTACAAATAAATGAATTCAATGAATGCAGCCTTTGTGAGGATAAGAAACATCATCAACCCCAAAGATTTGATACATTTCATACATATTTCAAAGATGATGAACACACTAAGTGTTTGGTGCTTCATGCCATATGAATGCTCAAACCTGTTTCTGTGATGTATTGTGTGATTTATGTGGCTTCATTTGAGTAAAATGTGAAAAAACCCTTGAATATTTGGCAATTATAAAAACCTGTTCACCTAAACCATCTGCATTGCTGTGGCAAGTAACTTGGAATGCAACCTTTTGAATTTTGTTTGTGTGACGGTAGAAGGGCAGGGAGAGAATCAGCTGTTAACCCCAGTCAGGTTCTAATCTAATATTGTGCAGAGAAACAGGTAGGTGTACGATCATTCAATACAACATATCAAGCTTGCCTGCAAATCATGTGTCATAAAACATTCTTTTAAGAAGAAGAGCTTAATATGTATAGAGTATAATTTACAGAAAAAATAACAAATATTTTTCATTATATTTCAAAATATTCCATACAATTATTAGTTTCTAAAAGTGTGTTATTCAAGTTCATGGGCATCTTCCTCCCCTTCCAGCATGCAGGTGCGGGCCATTACGCAGGTCACAGCATATGGGTCACAGTTGGCAGCAGGACGGCGGTCCTCAAAGTAACCGCATTTTTCCTGACCCACCTGACGAGGGATACGGATGCTGGCACCGCGGTTAGCAACACCTGATGAGAAGTCATGGATGCTGGAGGTCTCGTGGCGACCCGTGAGGCGACGTTTGTTATCTTCTCCATCATGTGGGTCGTAGACACGAATATGCTCTGCATGGCGCTTGCTCAGTTTCTTAATGGCTTTCTCAATGTGCCTGATGCAGAGAAAAGAATCATGGAGGTCAGATAACATGACCAAACACAGTTCACTCCAAGGATGACTATAATGGTAATGGAAGTTCACATCACAACTTTAATGATAACGGCACAGAGGACCAATATCGTTGGAATCATTATAAGAATGATTTATTTCCATCTGATGGACGATAAAAACATTGACATCCAATCAGAATTCATTCTGCTTTAAAGAGCTTGAGCACTAAAAGCAACAGACGACAAAACTGCAGCATGTGCTTATAATAAACAGAACGTTATCATGCGTTGGTGTGGATGCTAATATAATTATCGTTCTTAGAGTGAATGGACTTTAACACAACTCTGTCTGTTTTTAGGTGTCTTTAGTCTTTCTGTGACTATGAGTGTGTGTGTATAACTCAGTACATACTCAATTCCTCCTTGTTCTCTCATTTGCACTGTGCTCACATTGATGTGGCAACCGGCTCCGTTCCAATCTCCTGTCATGGGTTTTGGATCCAGAGTAGCCACCACTCCAAAATCTTCACACACCCTGTATAGCAGGAAACGTGACATCCATAGATGATCTCCCATCTCAATTCCTTCACATGGACCCACCTGGAATTCCCACTGCAGAGAGAACAGATTATCCAGACTGGCCATCCAGAACATGATGCCTAATAACTATAATTTAACGGTAGTTACCTGAGAGGGCATGACCTCTGCGTTAGTGCCACTGATTTTGATGCCAGCATACAGACAGGCTTTATAATGACACTCCACAATGTCTCTGCCAAAAGCTCTGTCAGCACCAACACTGCAGTAATATGGACCTGACAGAAAAAAGACACAAAATAAAAAACATTGCCATCTTTTAAATATAAAGATGTCACAGATGGCACTTTATTTGTACAATTAGACATGTAAAAATTTAATATGAATATAAAACTTCTAAAAATAAAAATGTCGAAGTCTTTTGAAACCTTATGGCACAAAAATTTGATATTTATAGTAGAAAGCCCAAGGAGTTTTTTATCTTCCATACAATGAAATTGAATGGACCTTGGGAGACCCTGGTCCCCATCCACTTTTATTGTGCGCAAGACAGCAGCTGAAACATTCGACAAAACTTATTTTTTGTTCCACTGAAGAAATACAATCATACAGGTTCATACATTTTTTTTCTAACCATCTCTTTAGACCCTAGTGAATTCAATTCTTCCATAGGGCAGTATTATCTATCAATGTACCACTGGTTTAAAGGTGCTGTAAGTGATTGTTTTCTTATATTCCACTGCTCTTCAACCACACATCTCGCCAAAATCCTAAGCCCTGTCAGCCAACCAAAACATGCAATTTTTTTTTGCAAACAGGAAGTGTTTTCTAATCGAACATGGCCTGCTTCCAGATTCTTCTTCGGTGTTTACAAAGAACTGGTGTGGTTTCTCATTGCACAGATTTTAGTGACATCTGCCAGGTAGGAGGGACATTTTACAATATGTTTGGTATTCAAAAATCCTTTTCAGCAGCTTGATACAGGATTTAACCTTGTGGTTTGGGAAAGCCAAATCTAGGCCAGCCATAAGGGTGTTCATCCACTCCTAGGAGAGTATATTCTTGCTCCATTCCAAACCAAGGGTGAAGCTCTTTGACCTTCTCCATGACCTTGTTACAGCGGTTACGGTGGTTCGATTCTAAAAGAAACAATTTTTTTCATCAGTTCTACACAAGTTTAATTTGCATTACCACTATGAGAAATTTTGGAACTCAAATTAATCTCTCTGCATTTTAACTGTACAAAATGTGGTGTTTATAGCAATTTAACAAAAAAGGTTTGTAGTTTGAATGGCTTTTTACTTCAAATGTTAAATAAATCTGACATAAATATAACTATTAATGATTATTTAAATGAGGTAAATTGATTTCTTGAGTTACATCAACTTCAAAAAAGAGTTTTACACATGTTACTGTAAAACTAGCAAAAGTTAAACAGTGTAACCATATGCTAGGAAGGCGGTGAATGGGACTCACCATCTATACTTGTTGATTTGACTTTAAAAAATGTATAATACATCATATTTCAAAAGCTGCACTGAGATGTGTTACTTGAGTCCCTAAAAGCCAATCATCTTTTATTTTTCCAAATTTACATAATTTTTATAGTGGATAAATTCTACCTGCAGTTTCTCGGGTGGGCTTGAGCACCTCACATAGCACCAGTTTGTTCGGGTCCAAGAGGAATGGGTCCCTGAACATGCAGACAGGAATCAGTAGCATGTCACTGTTGTGTCCTTTAGACTGACCCGTGCTGGAACCATCGAAATTCCACTCTGGTATGTCTGTCAAAGAACAAAAACAAAAACAAAAACAAAATAAGAATAAATAAAATGTTCAAGATAAAGAAAGCGAAACCAGTCAACACTTTGCTACCAGCTACGCTCTTTGGCTCTGAATCCATGGTTCGAGTCTTGTTACGCAGACCCTCTCCAGAGCCATCGATCCAGACGTAAGTGACCTGACAGAAGTTTCCCTGGGGCAGACTGAGATACTGCTGCCGCAGGGCCTTGTTGAGACTAGAGCTCTCTGATACATAAGACATACTGGATCAGATGTACAGTAAACAACGAACCTGGAGAGATAAAACAAGACAAAAACTTTGTGTTAATGTAGTGCATTTCAATGGTTTTAAAAAAAGATTCTCTTTTTGTATGATAGATAACAGCAAGTTACTTGTTTAATAAAATAGCATGACAAATCATTTTAAAGAAATTACATCTGATTGCTATGCATTCCTCAAAATGAAAGTAAAGAGACAAGTCGTAAGACAGCTTTCAGCAATGTAGGATATTAGAGAAAACACAGAATAGAAAAACATTTTTTTTGCTGTTTTTAATAATCTGTATTGGCTGTTTAAAGTATTAATGACATTATATATTCAATTAAAAATATTCTACTGTGTACTGATATGATGATATCATTAGATAATTTATTATTATTTCTAAAATATTTTAAATAATTGTTACATTTTCATTGATTGCAATAGATAGCATGCAACAAACAAAATGTCAATGCTCATTAATGTACCATATTAATTGTACAAATCAAAGATAACTTACTCAGAGCTGTATATTTTACTCCACTTCATATAAAGACTGAAACCCTGTGCACTGAAACAGGCAAATTTAAGGCAGCCTGTCATTGAGGTTATGTTGTATAGAGGTGTGACGTAGATAATATGCATGATGTCCAACCTTCCCTTATGTGAGATAGTAAACAACTTTTAACTTATAAAACCTGTTCAGCTAAACAATTTGCACTGTTGTTACAATGGCTTTAAAAAAATAATTGATGCATTGATTGTTTGTTGGAATGCATCACTTTGTTATAATGTGTTTTCATACGATATTAGAGACTTGAGGATGACCAATGCGTTCACTGACAAATAAACCAACTCAACGGTTTTCTCACCTCAGCTCCCCTGAACACACAATTACACACTATGCTTATTGAGAGGGGTTTTTTTCCACTGCAAAGAGACATCAGCACAAAGAAAGCACAGAGGACCAGAATTTTTACAGTCCAATTAGCCTCTGATGTGCCAATATACAAACAAGAGTCCCAAACCTGCTGAAATGGTCATTGCTGTAAATAACCTGATTATTAAAGCTGATTAAATAAACACATACAGTATTTTGCAAAAATGTAGATGAAGCAAAAACAGCCTCTATGACTTAAAAGGAAACTGCTAATTTGCAGCTTAGTACATAGAAGCACTAATCATTTTAGTAGGCCACTAAAATGCTGTGTAGTATAAAGCATGCACCCTAGAAACAAGCTAAACTGGCTTAAGCAACATGTTGAAGTTATTTGCAGCTAAAAATAAACAAACCAAAACAAGTCAAACTAAATAGAAAGTTTAGTAATAGCTACAATCTTTGTCTCGGGATCAATGGTTCGAGCCTTTTCACACAGACCCTTCAAAAAGCCTTAGATTTAGATATAAGTGGTAATCTAAATAATTCTGCACTGCAAAAAAAAAAAAAAATTTTTTTGTCATGTTTTCCAGTGGAAATATCAAAAATAAATTAATAAATAGATTAAAAATTAAACCTAGACACATTTACTTGAGAAACAAAGTGCCTTAAGTCTTGTTTTAGGGAAAAATAATCAAAATAAGTGATTTTAAGCTTAAAAATAATAATAAAGAAAAGAGATCAATTAAATCTGTCAGTGGGGTAAGAAAAGTAATACAAAGGGAAAACAGAATTATTTTTCTAACCCCACTGATGGATATATTTTCTTGTTTTAAGCAAAATTCCCTTAATTTTGATATATTTTCAGAAAACAAGACTTAATATCCTAAGTAACTGTATCTTAATTTAAGAGTGTTATTTGTACTGGAAAACAAGACAAAAATCTGAACCCCACTGAACACTTTTGGGATGAATTGGAACAGTAATTGCAAGCCATACGTCATCACCCAGCTTTACTGATGCTTTTGTGTTTGAATAGAAGCAAATCTCCCTTGCCATGTTCCAACATTCAGTGGAAAGCCACCACAGAAGAGTGAAAGCTGTTATGGATGGTCACTTCTCTTTTAATGTCAATGGTTTTGACGTTAAATGTTGAGTTGTACGTACATTCACTATGGGTGCGGTGTTTGGGTGTCTAAATCAATAGAACAAGAGATCTTTACTGTCGTGTTTAAAAAGAATTTACTGGCAGAGAACAAAAGAAAATATGAGAGAACATAAAGATGACAACATGTAACCAGTTTTCCTGACCCATCTGCATTCTTGTCTTCTTGTGGTTGGATCTTGATGTTTACGTGACAGTGTGAGACAAAGAAGAGCAAAAGTAAAACTAAAATGGGCAAACCACAATCACCTGAATTGCCTCCCGTGTAAAATGAAGAAATGTAGCATTATGTCACTTACCAACAATGTAGTGAATGGGTGCCGTCAGAATGAGAGTCCAAACATCTGATAAAAACATCACAATAATCCACATGAAACCAGTCCATTAATCAACGTTATGAAGAGAAAAACTTCGTGTTTGTAAGGAACAAATCCATCAGTAAGGCATTTTAACTATAAAACATTGCTTCTGGTCAAAATAAAGTCCATCCTCTGTTGTCCTCTCACAAAATCCACCGACATCTTTGTTTAGAACTATTTTGGTTTGTAAACAGTGCTTGATCTTTGCATATTCCTCTCTTGATTCAGACTAGATGACTTTTTCACTGCAGAAAGCAATATTATGGATAGAGGACTCGTATCAAAAGCAGAAGCTACTGTTTTAAGTATAAACAATTCTTAATGGTGGATTTGTTTTTTGTTTTACAAATATGCAGCTTTTTACTTCACAAAACGTTAATTGATGGAGTTGTGTGGATTATTGTGATGTTTCTATCAGATGTTTGAACTCTGACGGCACCCATTCACTGCAGAGGATCCATTGGTGAGCAAGTGATGTAATGCTAAATTTATCCAAATCTGTCTGATGAAGTAACAAACTCATCTACATCTTGGATGGCCTGAGGGTGAGTACATTTTCATTTTTGCATGAACTATTCCTCAAACCTTATTGAAGAGACCGATCAAAAATTAATATTTGAAAATGTTAAGTGGTTCAACATTGAAACATGAAAGTGCTTGCTAAACACTGTAATTCCCAAACCTGCTGATACTGACACCTCACCTCGAAGAAATATCACTAAATTATAGTTGATGCTGAAATGCATATTTAATGAATCTCAATACACAGTGGCGTACAAAGGTTTAGTGTGAACTTCCATGTACACTTGACTTATCACATCCAAAACAAGAATTTGCAATTCATTTACAAAATGTAATAAGGGCAGAAACAGCAAACCGAACAAGAAATATACAAATTGTGTTCGGAAACCCATATAGCAGATGATTTTCATCAAAAGTGATGTAATGTAGATTAATTGCTCCAATCTGGGATTCATTTCCATACTCAAGTGCACAGTGATATTACATTGTAAATGTGATCAGAGATCTCGAATCACCTCTGCTTGGGACTGAACTCTGCGTTTGGCTACCACAACTCATATTAACCACACAATATATTCAGTTTAGGTAAAAATAGCAGCTTTCAAATCACTAACAAAAAAGTAGTTCTAAGAATTAGACCACCCATTAATTACAATTCAGCCATTATTTTCTCACATTCCAAACCTGCGTGACTTACTTTCTTTTCTCTGTGGAACACAAAACAAGGTCTGCTCCTCATGCAAAGCTATCATATGACCTCAGAAGACTTGGATCACTTTTATGAAGCTGTTTGTGTCCATTCTGAAGCATTGTAACTGCAGAAAAAAATCACCGTAAGTACATGTTTCAAAAGTTTTCATTGTTGCAACAACAATAGGGTGAGTAAATAATGGCAGAATTTCAATTTCTAGGTGAACTATAGCTACAAATGAACCTCTGAGTAAAGATGTCCACAATTACAGTGAATAGGAAAACTGTAAACTTTGAGCATCACAGTTGAAATGATATAATCATGAACTGGCAGTGAGCGGTCCAGCATAGCTTCAGTGATTGATCACAGTGCAGGAAGAATGATTAAGAACCACATTTATGGATCGTAAATCCACGGCGGCCCTCATGTCACGCTTTCCTGACAATACGTCCAGTTTTCTTCAAGTCTCGTCTCCCTGTCCGCACCGGCTGGCTACTGACTCTCCACGTTCCATGACAGACACGGGAACTGTGGGTAAAAGTAAAGATGTTACAATTATTATGGCAGACATATGCAAAATAGTCATTTTTTCAGTGTTTTACTGAAACACCTAAAGAGATGGATTTCCCAGAAAAGTGAACACTTGAAATAGTATTAAGGAATAATTAAAGTTGCTTCGGTCATATTAAGTATAGCAGAAGCATATTTAGGTTACATTACAGAAGGCTTAACGTTACAGAATAACTGTACATTTGTGAGTGTCCCAAGAATGAGGTTGGTCAGAAAAATAGTTAACTTAAGGGACATTTTTAGCGAGGTAAAATACACATGTAAGCATCTTACCTGGAGCACCACATTAGGCGTTTATGAGGTTTGGCTGCTTGTCTCCTGTACTGCATCAATCCACACACAAGCTCGTGAGCTATCATGACATAAAGTAAGAATATGAGCACACCGGGGTCCATCCTGCCGGTAAGTGCAAGTGTTCGTTATTTGACAGGGTTTTTTTTTGCACAGCAATGCAGGCTGCACTGATAGATAATAGTGAATTTAGTCACAGCATTACTGTCACTGCAGCTCTGTCACGCGCCTCAAAAACAATTCGCGATCATTTGTTCCCCTCCACTGGTTTTATAATCCTTTCATTCTGAACACAGCAAAGCTTTATATCTTTTACTGTTGATGTAGCGCGTGGATTTTGTTGCTTGAATTACCCTACTGAAGCTTTTCGACAGACGGATTGGGAGGATGTTGCCGTGGAGACATCGCCGTTGCTAAGAGACGCCGTAATTGGGTTTCGGTTTAGCATCTGTCTGTAGTGTCAAGTTTGAAAAAGAAAATATATCGTCATCGTAAATGTGTTATATTTAGAATGTTTCATAAAATGAAATCCGCAATAAGGGCGCATGTTGTGTCCCTCTTGAATATGTGTACACGACTTTAACAAGCTGACAGCAACTTTTACCGTGGTATTAACTTGGGCGCTTTTCTCGACACATCTACAAAAATCCAGCAACTTTGTTTGTAATCTATCTAGCTACCTACAATTCGTTTATTTACACTTTAAGGTGTTCTTTGAGAGAATGTTTAAGTTGCATAATATTCCTATTAATCGCACATGAGACACTTTTTAAATACAATTTAATGTTACATTTTCATATGAAGAATGGGAATAAAATATTCTGTTTAATTTATGGGATAACCCCAAAACTTAGCATGGCAGCCTTGAAAATGTAGTGCATTCTTTTGGAACCTCTGTTATTCTGTAATAGAGAGAATCCAATAAAGGGGTCATATGATGCTTTTTAAAAGATCATTATTTTGTGTTGGTGTAACAGAATATGTTGACATGCTTTAATGTTCAAAAAACACATTATTTTTCGAATACTGTACATTATTGTAGGCCTTCTATGCCCCGCATCTCTCAAACGCTTCGTTTTCTACAAAGTCCCTCCT